TGACAATTTATACCTTATTTACGTTATTCCATATAAAACTAGATAATTAGTTAACTTTTGGAGCATGACTGAGTAGAAATCAATGCTCTTTCGCGATGTTACTGTAAAGAATCTGTTCTACCAGTCTGCAATTAATGAATTTTCAAGGACTATGAGATGCCGTGTACTGAAAAATAAGAAACGACAAGACTATAATTTATGGACAAACCAATCAGATGTATGGTGTGCGATCTTGGATTTCATTCATCTATTTTCGTGAATTGCGTTTCGGTATTTTTAATGATATCAATTCTTGATAGAAATATCAAATGTAGCCCCTAATTACAACCATCAACTGCATATCATATTCCCTATTTCTCATACTGTTTTACAACCCTCATTTAGTTACAGTTAATGGTTGGAAATTCTGAAAGTCACTTTAATGTCCCCCAAAGGTCGTCTATAAATAATAATCTCGCCAAAACACGTCATTTCACTTAGTTTTGGGATCAGGAAGAAGCCTTGCACATTTATTCAAAAAGTTATTTATGAAAACTATACTTAAAAAAATTTCACTGATTGACGAATATTGACAAATATTCATATAAAGTGATTCTGATATAATTACAACTGTTTATAGCACACAACTCAGAAGTAATGAAGCAACGAAAAATTGTGTCACTGACACAGTGTCGTCGCTTGAGGTCTTCGGAAATGTGGGTTGCAACAGTCGCTTCTTTGTCTCGTGCCTGCATGAAATGCTAAAACAAGACCAAAACATTGGTACTGGAATCTGCAGTCAACTTGATATCACATGGTTAAAAGTATCATTTATTGTATGTATATCTTAGAGAGCTTGAACAAAAAACAGTACATAGTACATTTTTGTTCACTGAAATGCACAACGTCGATTTGGGGATTTTTCTTTAGAATTTACATTGATTTAAGAAAATCGACAATATATCCATTAGTCTGGGGTTTTCTCTATACATTTTTCCAGACTATAGAGAAAATTACAAATTTTCTTACGACTTTTGGGAAAACCCCGGAAGTTCTCCGAAATTCGGAGATCGATATTGCCTAATAAAACTCGTAGCAGCTGCTGTTATTAGAACGAAGCGCGATTAACGGGTCCTCAGACAACAGAATGCAATTATAATGAACAGTGAGCTATGAGATGTGACAAGGTGGGATGGGTTCAGAAGACAGGACAAGTCGAAGTTAGAATCAGTAATGCAGTTCGTTAAAATTGGAGCATGAAAGGAGAGTAAAGTGTCAAGAAACGCTGAAAACTGTACCCTTTATTATCTTCTTTTATTCATGTTTTTTCATCTAATGCCACTGTTGGTAACGTCGCATAAGGCACGGGTCTTTTGGGACGAAAAACAGGCTTAGCTCCAGGTTTCAAACGAAGCGTTGCTTTAATGGTAGAATACTGTCCCAAACCAGGCTGGAAAATCGATGAAAACTGCGCCATTAGCTTCCTGGTATACGATTCAGTGTCATGAGTTTGTGATACCATGTGGCATATGGTATTTAGTGGGACATCAACCAATTTCAGTTGATCGAACCAGTCTAAACCAAGTAAATTTAGATCAGCTGGAGTTATATGACATACCCCGGTAAACGACGACTCCCGGAAGGTCATTTTACATTCCAATTGTCCTGATAAGTGTAGGAAATTACCACATGCGGTACGAGGCTTTTGAGTTGTTCGCTGCAGGCTTGAGCTACCCATTTTGATCCAATTTTTGTGTGAGAGGATGATGACGTCTGATGCTGTATCTATTTGTAATCTAAAAAGTGTCCATTAATGTTAATGAATTTCCTCTCACCTGGTGATGAGCTCTGACAAGAAGATACTAAGCTCAAAGAAGAGGTACAGGGCTTTGGAAGTCTGTAACAGCTCAGGTTGGTTGGTTAAGAGTTGACCCCAAACAACCAAGCATATGCTAAGACAGTATTGTTCAAGTATTCATTCACTTCATTACTTTTTGTAAGCGTTATATTCCCTATTATCTTATATTGAATGTTGAGAGCCTTTGTTTGTCTGAACAGATAGTCCCACGCTCCACTGTGACTGCGCGAAGATTGAAATAAAGAACTATTCACTGCTTCTCTGGTTTCTTCTATCAATAGCACGAGGGTTACCTTAAGGCACGAAAAGTCTTTTTGGTATTACTGGATCGATTTGGTGTGTTCTTAAGGCAAAACTCGTCCTTGTGACCAACAACCTTGCACTTCCTGCATCGATGTCGCCTAAATGGGCAATTTCGTACGTAGTGCCATGCACCACAGTGCCAGCAAGGAGTGGAGGGATTTGTTCTGGTCTGTCGAATTGGGCTGAAATGAGTTGGACTGAATGCAGCGGGAGCGCACTTATTCTGGTTAGTTGTCTTTTGGACTACTCGTACTTCCGATCGACTAGACCCACCACTCTCAACCATCGTCGTGTCTCGTTGCAGATTTACTAGGCGTTGGTATTCATTAGCCATGTCATTTAGTGTGAGTTTTGGATCTTGATCCAATCGACATAGTAGTCGCGTTTTTATGTCACTGAACTTCTGGGACTGGAGGATGCAAATGAGGATGAGGGCTTTGAACTGGTCTACAGATAAAAACTTCAACCGGAACCGTTCGCATTCACGGTTAACGATGCCTACATGCGTAAGAAAGTCATCGTCTTCATTCATAACCAGCTTCAAACATCGATAACGGGTGTTAAACAATGATGAATTGTCCCCAAAATGTTGCCTTAGTGTCTGGACTGTGTCTGCGAAAGAGAGATCACGTGGATTCAAAGGCAGGATCAAGTTGCAGTACCTGTCCAGCTCACTTGCACCCAACTTCCGAAGTAGCAGTCGCACCTTCCAAGCATCATCTTGATTAGCAAAATCAAGTTTAAATAGATCTTCATAACGCCGGAACCACATGTCAAAAGTAACGTTGGCATCAGGATCATAATGAAACTCAGCAATATTATTTGCGATGCCGTCTACTGATGGTGCTGTGGTTGCATTGGATGTGCTAGGCTGTGTAGGTGGCGAAACTTTCATATCTGTCAGCATTTGTATGAGCTTCAGCTGCTGTTCAAGTAATGATTCGAGTTTAGAAGGATTTATGTTTCGAAACCACCGTCGCCAATCGATATGCTTGAACTAAATCGATTCCGCAGTAACGAACGAAAGCCAATGGCACGATAAGCTATTCTAATCGGTTGTCCCTGGCCCGCTAACTAGATGAAGAAGTTCAAGGCAAGTAGGGGAATATATATGTATTCTGTAAGCAGCCGAGTACAAGCAATCCAATAAGGGAAAAAGTTAAGCGCATTTATACAGCATCAAATTGTCCTTGAGCATCATTAGTAAATGGCACACACAAAGAAACAATGGACCAAAGCGTTTAAGATAGTTTACAAGTGGGTAATATGATGTGAAGGTAAAAAGATCGCGTTTGGCGCGGAAACAGCTAAATTCAAATTTCCAAAATAAAATTACAAAACTAAGCCATTTACCAAGTAAGTTCTGGGGATTTGACATCCCCAACAACTACACATCGCCCACAACCACTTACCAGTTTGGATTAATCGCTTCTCGATATATCGATATTCTGTCAGGTATATTTTTGAGCCTGTTCGCTTATGACTTCTGATTTCGCTGGGTTGGCACGTTTCTATTATAAAGAGTGTTACTGGGTAAGGTGTTGTTAAACTGCTAATACTTGTGGCATGTTTAGATAAGTTGAAGTTCTAGTCCTTACCATCAATTCTTGCTATGCAGTAACCCTATCCTCCCTCCTTATGTGATGTTAAGCTTACTTAAGATTGCTTTTTTTTAATAAATATTACACTTCACACAATGATCTGTGTCTCCCATCCTGATAGAAAACACTATCATTTTACAGGCCTATCAGGCGGTTACAAATTATGGACTGTGGTTAAAACATCGATACAATGGCTGAAGCGATGATAGTATAAATTGTGGGTTTTGAAACAAAGTACGAAAATTTCGAGAGTTATAATGGCAGACAAATGTTTGCCGAAGTAGTTGGAAAAGTGCAAGAACACATTATATATAGACAAGGCAATAGGTGATGTTATAAAATTATTAGTAAGTAAACATAATGTGGGTAAGAGTAGAAAGCTGATGAAAAATAGATATGAAGGACCTCAAAATAAGTTATTAATTATGGTTTGTTGTATTGCACTAACAAACTGGTGGTTTTCAGGATCTTTGGATGAAAGACTGTTGGTACTGGGCAAGAAACTGTGAGTTTCACTGGGCTATTATTCTGAATAGTAGTGAGCGTTTCTTGTGGCTGACTATAGTTGGGAGGTATTGGTGGGTCCAGTGAGTTATCTGTCTACTTCAAATAAAAGTTAATGAGGGACTTATAGCTAATGAGACATATTTAAAACATTCGCTGGGAAGAAATGTGAATGAAGATACCACAGGTATTGTAGTTTGATAACACTTTACCAGTAACACTTATAATTGAATCGCGCCCACCTAGTGAAATCAAAAGTCAGAAGAGGGGAGGTTCGAAAATATATTTGACGGATTATCAATATGTCAAGGAGTGACTGATCTAAACTGTCTAGTGATTGCAGGAGAAGTTGGGCACGCTGTCCCAACTCGTGATCTCGTGCATATGCATGATCGAGCGCCCTTAGCTAGATGAGTTCAATAAAACTAATTTGGTCAGCATCCAATGCCGAACACTTACAGAGCTATTGATTTTGGGGATTTATTTTTCGCTACATAAGGAAAATTTAATTTAGAGTTAGAAATGGTTTAGAGATGTAGAAGGCCTGTGATGTTTCAGTAAGGTACAGATGTGTTCGTGCTTGCTAGATCAGTACAAGCGAAGGCTTCATCGAGAAGCCCTACAAAGGTATATAACCTACCTGCCACCAGTATTTTAGGAGGAATTCCGTTTCATAATAATGTATACATGATGAGGAAGAAATTTCTACCAGTTTTTGACCTGTATTATTCAACGTTCACTGTAGATACCCTATATTGAATTCGTATATTTGTGAGCCTTGGGTAGGAACTGTATTACAGGTGGTGCATATACGCACCTGACCAACTTTGAGAACTCTAAATACTCAATGTCCAAGGCCTTTCAAGGTCGTAGGAAATACAGCGCGGTCAAGTTTTGGGGCCCAACTTGTACTGTTAAGATATGTCAAAGTCATCATTACCAGTGGATACTTTCTTCAAGAACTTTCGATTTTTGAAAAAAACTGTTATAGTTAACAATGATGACTATAACGGGGCTTTCAGGTCGATCAATAAGTTAGTTTTCCTGATTCTTTGTCATATGATTAATATTGTATTGCATTCTGCAAGTTGTATTTCACATTCTCGTACGAATCACGAAATTAAACGACATTAAAAGGTTCAACCTTCCGTTCTTTGTCAAGGAGTAGGGCAAGTATAGGCATATGCTTCAGCAGTACTTATAGGTAGTTCGGAAGAGATTAATTAATCTCTTATGAACTACTTGTTATGTAAGCTCACATAAAAAGTCAAATATTTAGTTGCGCTATAAAAACAGGCATTATCCTACTGAAAGTGGACTCGCTATATGCATAGGTATGCATATTCAACGCGTCAGATGAGGTTTTAAATCACAAATGTCATGCGACTTTACAAATGAAAGGAACATTTTCTTTTCCACGCAGTTTGTTAATGCATGTTTCTTCAAGTTAGTAAATTACTGAACGACTAAATTAAAGTACTTAACAGCATTGTTTTAAAATCACTACCACCAATCGATAACCAGAAGAGAGTACTTCAGTTTCAGTTCCAGTTTCAGTTTGGAAAGGACAGGAGGCTAGATGGCTTATGTTAGTCCTGGCAATGATAGTCTCTCAGCTGATCCAACTTTCTTTTGAAGTAGTCGACGGATGGAGCCTCAACCACGTGCTGAGGTAATGAATTCCACTCGTTGATTATTCGATGGGAAAGTCGGTAGTTAGCTGACAAGTAATTCGTTCTGGGCTTGTGAACTTTTTTGGAGTGTCCTCGTAGATTTTCTCTTTTGGAAGACAAGAAAAATGAGGGCATATCAGGTGCAAATTTGTCATTAAGCAATTTGAAAACTAATCAAGTCGCCTCTGATTCTTCTATATGACAGCGGGAATAGGTTTAACTTGGTCAGTCTAGTACCATACGGGAGCTTCGCTATTCCGGGAATCAGCCTAGTTGCTGTTCTCTGAACCCTTTCCAAGAGTTCACTGTCTTTTTTTAGGCAGGGGTTAGCTGCTTGTATACAGTACTCAAGTTTAGGGCGTACGAACACTGTATACAATGTCAAAAACGTTTTAGCGTCAAGATGCCTTAAAGCCCTGCGTATGGACCATAAAGTCCTAAAACCTTTGGCGGCTATTGCACGGCAGTGTGCAGTAGTCTTTAAGTCTTGATTAACGATGACGCCTAAGTCATTGTGTGCCTGGACAATAGGTAGCTCAGTGTTATTCATCGTGTATGTATCTGTACCTTGGTGGCCAATATACATCACAATACACTTGGAAGTGTTTATCGGCAATTGCCAGGTTTGGGACCATTCAGATAATCTCTCCAGGTCATTTTGAAGTTCTAAGCTATCGCCCTTGCTTCGTATCGCTCTCCATATCTTGACATCGTCAGCATAGAGTAAGACCGATGACGATAGTAGATGAGGGAGGTCATTTACGTACAGGAGGAATAACAATGGCCCCAAAACTGTACCCTGGAGGACTCCACTAAGCACAGTTTCCCAGCTAGACAACTTGGAGTTCACCCTTACTCTTTGTTGACGCTCAACTTGGAAGTCTTTTATCCACATCAATAGATTGCCTTCAATCCCGACATTCCTTAGCTTATGTAACAGCCGGTTATGCGGAACTTTGTCGAAGGCTTTGCTGAAATCGATGTGAGCTACGTCTATAGGTAACTTTTGGTCCTTAAGAGCGCACCAGCTTTCACGAGCGACTAATAAGTTTGTGAGACAAGAGTAACCTGTTCTAAAACCATGCTGCTTTTCGGAGAGGATCCGGTTTTCATCGAGATACTTTAACAGCTCCTTCCGAATAATCTTTTCTAAGATTTTAACAACCACACTAGTTAGGCTAATTGGTCGGTAATTCTCAGGCTTATGTTTTGTACCTGTTTTGAAGACTGAACTTACTATGGCGTTCTTCCAGTCTTTTGGTAGACGACCCTGGGTTACGGATAAATTAAAACATGCACTTAAAAGGTTCGCAACAAAGTTGGCTAATTCCTTTAGTAACATAGGATGCAGTTCATCGGGTCCAGTGGATTTACCAATATCAAGCTTAACTAGCAGACCAAAGACATCGAGTTCTTTAACGGTCACGCTGTCCAGTGCTTGTGTGTGGGGATTTTCATGGGCTGGTGAGAAGGGTGTTTCTATGGTGTATACATCACTAAAGTATTTAGAGAATACTTGAGCTTTGCCAAAGTCGTCCTCCACTAGTGATGTGGCAGTACTGTCTCCCCATAGTGAAAGAAAATTTCTTCTTCTTTTTGTCCTTTGATTTATATACGAATACAAGCGTTTAGGGCATTCTATGGATTCCCTAACGATTTTCCCTTCGTATAGCTTTCTGGCCTTACGGAGGGTCGAGGCACAGGTATTTCGAGCCTTTTGATACTGAGATTTAGCCTCGTTAGTCCTCAGTAACCTAAATCTATTCCACTTTTTTTTCTTGTACGGAGAAGGATGCGAACCTCCCTACTGAACCACGGTGGGGAGTTTCTCGGCTCCTTAGGTGTAGTCCAAGGGATGTGGGGGGCGGTAACTTTTAAGTATAAATTCCGGAATACGTCCCAAGCAGTTTCGAATTATGACTCTGGGTCTATTTTCCAATCTACTGATGATGCTGATTTTATGATGTCTGGTATGTTTGCTTTCCAGACGTTAGGTCTGGATTGAGCTGAGGCGTGCTCGTGATCGACAGTTATATGGAAGTCAAAGGTTAAAACCGCATGATCACTTTTGCCTAGGGGTTGCATGTAATCCAGGTTTTCAACGTCATCCTCATAATGATTCAATATAAGATCTAGTAAGGATGATGCAAAACCCGGGTCGTACCTAGTTGCTTCCTTCACGTGTTGCATTAGGGCACATGTAATTACCGCATCAACTAGTTCCTGTTCGAAGAAATTCGTTGACGATTCAGTCAGCAGATTTCTCCAGTCCACCATTGGTGCATTAAAGTCCCCGAGGATTAGACATCGATCACTTCGTGATAAAGTGTTGAGACTGCTTAGCAGGACCTCGTTTGCCTCACAGCTTGGACTGCGATAGATCAAACTAAGTAGCAACTCTTGTCCCCTGCATTTCAGGCGGCAGCAAACTAATTCATACATCCCACTCTCATGGGATACACTGTCGATAATGGTGAATGGAATAGCATTCCTAATGAATAGAGCTACTCCCCCTCCTTTACGCGTTTGTATTATATCGGCCCTTACTAATGTAAAACCCTCGAAACCAAGTTCCCTATTATCTATAGACGGCGTCAGCCATGTTTCTGTGACTGCGATTATGTCTGGCCTAGTTGAGTCAATCAGTACACCTAGTTCCGGTAGCTTATTGAGTAAGCTCCGGGCATTGGTATAACAGATCCGAAGCCTATTTAGGTGGCCTCGTGTTTTACCCAGAGTGGCTTCGGCATCATCCTCTGTCGAAGCCTCACAACCCGAAAATTTACAATTTTCAGGTCTTTTTCGCAAGCGTCCAAATCTGAGCTGTAGTTCCTTTTCGGCTTCCCGTCTTTTTACACGGTCCGCCAACGGTAAGTCCTTACGGAGAAAAACTCCTAAACCCTTTAATTTGTGTCCATTTTCTAAGATTAAGTCGCGTTCGTTTGGGGATTTGAAAACGACTTTGAGTAGTCTAGACTGATTTGGTTTCAGTTGCGCTGGATTTCCTAGTCTATACATCTTTAGCAAAGTGACTCCGGGGATGTTTTTGGGCGTAACTTGGTTGAGTAGTTTTTTTATCAACACAATGTCATGCTCAAAACGAGCTTTCGGTTCTAAGTTGTCACTCTCCTTGACTCTATGGAGAATGACTGATCTGTCACTGTGATCAGACCTCGGCTTGTCGACCCTTTTGGTGGGGGGTAGGATTCAATTTTACGTCATTTTGCCGGTTTCTCCTTACGACCCGTACCCAATCGCCAACGTTCTTTGGAGTAGTAACCACGGTCACGTCAGGCGTATTGTGGGATTCCGGAAGGTTCAGGACGACTTGGGAGGTTGGGTCATCTTTCGCGCTGGAAACCGATTGAGCCTTGCGATTTCGGGTGCCGGAAGTTCCCTTCTGGGTACCATTTTTGACACGAGGGACAGAGGAGACTTTTTGCGCGAGTTTTTGGTTGTGACAGACCTCTTTGGAGGATGTTCTCCCTCCTTTGGACAGTGTGGGTCAGCATTTTTTGAACTCACTTGAGCCTGTCTTATGTCAATCTGCGTGTCGACATATTGAGTTCTGACTGATGTGTCCCAACCGCGCTTGCCGAGACACTTTTTCGCGGCATTTACTATTGAGATGGCCTCGGTTAACAGGCTATTTGCATCCAAACAGCACTTTTGACATAGCCATATGCATCCATTTTTACTGAACCGCTTGAAAGCTGCAGGCGTTAGATTTGTGCAAACTTTGTGGTACCAACCTTTGCACTCATCGCACTGCATGCCGCTGTCAACGGGATATCGACATCCTGGGCGGTGGCAAATGCTTTAGTTGCATCTTCCAGTCATTTCGGGATGAGAAAGTGAGTTTTGACCAAAAGTAATAAAAACTATAAATAGTTAGGACCAAAGTACTAACAGATACAATAGAAAAACAAGGTACTCTGGAGTACCGACGATAAAACTATTTAGGATACCAAAAATGATACTCTAGTCGAATACTTTAACTGAAAGAAATTCAATCAAAGTATAAAACAGTAGTCTTGATACGTTAATAACGATCAAAACAATAGAATTTACTCAACGAGGAAAAATACCACTGTCCTTTTTAAATAGCGCGCGGGTAATGTAGTTTAAGTAGTTTAATCAGTCAGTCAGCTACAACATAGGACCAGGCACACATATGCATCGGTCCAAGTTGCGATACCTCATTAGCACCGAATTCATAGTAGTTCATTTAATGGTGGTAATATGTAAGAAAATGGTTTTATCTAAGGATATTTAGTACAGGAAGAAAAATATGAAGCATAGTTTAAGGGAAGACTGAAAGTCTATACCCCTACGCCATTGTGGTCGATTTTGAGCCATTTCACACAGTCTCAAACCAAGTCAGGGCCATCTATTATCCTTATTTACTGATCTACAGGCTAAAGACTTTCGTCGCCAACTGTCAGGTTTTAACTTCGTTAAGGCGCTGGTAAGATGCAGTTTTACGAATACTTTGTACGACGCTTCAGGATTGTGGTTATCCATTTCCTAATAGTTGTAAGTAATTTACCAGAAGCTGTTTTGAACTTGATGGAACTGATTGTTTATATCAATTAAGTGTCAGATTCTTACAATTAATAATCTCCCATTTTGTTGAACAATACTAGTTACATACAATGCTACCACCGACAGCTTCGTTACAATCGCCTTTATGCCAAAAGATTTTTGTTTTAAAGTTATGGATCACTATTTAGTGACACGAAAAAAACCGAAAGATGTTAAGGACATTTCAAATTACGGATGCTTAACTAGTTCTTCCATGAATAATCCTTTGAAGCTTTTATTTTTGAGTTTTCTAGAGATGGTGATTCGATTGTGCCAGAACCTTGTGCAAGGTTCAAACGCTATAGAAGTCGTTACTATGTTTTATTCCTTCCAAACTGTGACTGAGATCACTGTGATCAGTTCAGGAAATATGCATTATGTCAGTACTTACTAGAAAAAAGTGAAAAAATGAGACAAATAGGGACAATGTGCGTATAATCTAAGTTATTTGTGTCCTCAAGTTTATGTTTCATTGCAGTAAGATTTAAAATATTTAACCACTTGAATATGACGACCGCTGATGTATATCTAAGACGTTTTTTATCTTGTTTTTCCATGGTACTGTCGTTAACTTCCTATTAACATATCAAAGTTTCATTCCGAGCAAATACTTAGCTGTTTGATATGGAGCAGAATTTGTATTTAATTTTCAACATACCTCCAAAAGTCAAACGAAAATTGTATAGTAATAGAGATATATACCTCGTGGGTAACCGACTTATATTTCGACATGAAAAGTTTGTCGTCGCGCATAATCACAATCGTTTCTTCATTATACATATATCATAAAAACCCATTCTTATTACACTGCTTAGTTTCTTAGCTTGGCCGTTAAACTTCACCACCGCGTTGACTGTATATAGTAAGTAGTTTGGCATTTTACAGAGCTCCTACGGGTTTCGGTAAAGTAGTTATTTGTTCTCACTGAACTGTTGTCAATGAGATTGCAGGTGACTGATAATAGAAGCAATAATGCATTAATCAGTCATAAGCATCTCAGATCTTGACAGATATGTGCATCTTTTAAGGCTACCACACCGTAGCACAGGGATGAAATTGTCGAGATGAATTGAAACCAAAGTAACAGAAGTGTCTGTGGTAGTTTCAATGATAAGAAACGCTAGTGGTAGAGAGTAAGATCTGAGAACGGATGAATTGGCGGTAAAGTATAAGATGATTTTGAAGCTTATGATTTATTGAATGATAAAGATCGAAAACATTTGTACCATCGCAACCGATTCTGAGCTATGTATTCATCCTTCTAATTTTCTACGGTAAATTTTAGTGATATTTAGCATAAAGGTTATTCTAACAGTTGAATTCACGAGACCACCATTGAAAATCTGGAAGCAGTGATGGTCTAGCTTAGTATGACTCGTGAATTCAACTTTTAAAATACTACAATCTCCACCGATCCCCATACTAACAAAGGTTTTTATCGACTGCAACTTAATATGCAGCTGAACTATGATTTATTTTATTTTATTTAAACACATAAATATTGGTACAAGGAAGCACCAGATAAATATGCGCCGCACAAATCTCATTTGATTTGTGTGAGGGCTGTGATACTGCCCAGGTGCCCAGACTGAAGCAGGTGGTTTTCTTAAGGGGCCACATCCGGAGCCTTTGACCTAAAGATCTGATCCACAAGGCAGTGGAGCATCGTGAGGAGATGCAGTCTCATCGTAGCCGGTGACCAACGATTGATTCATACGCCATTTTTTCCCTCAAGATGCTGGGGCCGATGTGCACCATTGGTTTGGAATCGTGGTTTTCCAACTCCCCTAGGTAGACTCGCCGTATCCACCAACCCGGTTAAAGTGCCGGACATTCGCTTTTCGTCCTCTCAATTTCGTAAACAACAGTAATGCCACGAGAAGGCAGTGAGTAGGATTTCCCTGACAGAGGCTATATATTAGCGTGACCATGTGAGAGCATTTGGGGACAGCTGAACTATGATCCCTAATCCTGTACAAATCCCAAGTCAGTCTTAACCCACATATGGTCTGATAATGGACATCCACTCAGCTCAGCATACTAAAATCAGAGATGGACAGTCATTTCGTTAGCGACGAAACAAAACTTTGTGTAATGTGGTTGGAAGTAAGAATGGAAGGATGTTTAAGGGAAATTGGAAAAAGGCTTAATGGTGAATAAAACAGGTTTGGCCGCTGCTAGTTCTTGGATCAATGACGCTTTTGAACAGTTCATTTGTGAAGAGTGACTTCGTCGTTGAAGCTGAAGAAAGGAACTAAGTGGTGTCATCTCACTGTAAGGCATTAAATACTATAAAATGTGGTATATGGGCTAGTAATAGCGTTTTATTGACTTATGCCGTGAATATATCTTACTACTTGGGAATATTCACTTGGGTGGATCTACAAAATGTTTATCACAAAGCGGATACCGCACGAACCCCCTGACTTATGAGAAAAAACATTGTTATCAACAAGCCAGTACCTGAAACATACGCAGATCTCCCCAGACTAACTTGTGAAGTAAGCACATGGCTTAGTATTTACCATAAATGATCATCAGTTGGTGCTCAAAAACACCATAGAAATTAAGCTTAATATACAACCATTAACCCAAGAAGTATGCTGATGTAAGAACCCATTGTCTGTGAACGCGTAATTCAAAAATTTAGGTGAACATTGTTTATTTTATGGTTAGTGGTCTAGATACAGAAAGCAAATCAGTCGTTTAGGCATCAGTTAAAATAATCAAGCCATGTGTTGTACACTGGTGTACGGATTCCTTCGACGTACTATGTTAGATTGGGCGCTCAAGGTGACTGAAATCATTTTCTTTTGACATATGAAGTACCATTTTTTGTATTTGTATTGTAAAGAGAGAAAATTTAAGAGATTATATCATAATAACAATGTGATCATTTGTGTTGTCTTGTCAGATTCATATATTTGTATACTCATTTTGGAATGTAAGATTTGACCGAGCATACGTCTGTCAACTGCATTCAGTTCTATTATTTAACTTGGACTCGGTAGTGTAATTAATTCAAATACCTTATATTCGTATCCTTGTAATCTGACTTATAAGGACACTTTGTCTGCGTATCTGTTAATCATATTCCATTGATCTGATGATCTACAAATACTTGAAATATTAATTAAGTCATCATAAATCCAATACTTTGATTCTATTTATTACTAATGTGCATGTCAGTTAATTTATTTACTTGGATATGTATTCAGGAACATTACTATCCCAGTTCTTCAATCCGTTCGTCATCGGTCATCAGAACAAAATTTTTAAAAAATATATAACAAGAAACAAATTTATCTTTGAATTTACTTCATTTTTTCTTGACCTGTTTTCAGGATAATAAATGTTGATAAGGTAAGGAGTACGGTCAATTTTCAACAACGTTATGAAAAACCAACTGATTGGAGACGAAGATATATGTATGAACGGTGTAAACGTGTGTATGACTCTGAGATGTCAAGAAAAATTTCACTTGTTATACGCACACATAGGGTTGATCCATGGCCTCGTTGAAAACTAGTCATTTGTTTAGTTGTAATTCTCTGTTGTACAGACTTATAATTGTTAGATTTTGTTAATATAATACAATTTTGTTTGCTGAATTGATAGTTTTATTTCTTTCACATTTTATATTCAGAATTAAGCTACTAAGAATAGGATGTGTTAAAATAATTATTTTTCAAGAGGATTTTGATTATGTAGAGCAAATAGACTTGTGACATTTGATCATGAAAAAAATATTTGCTTGCTCTTTGTAATGTAGTGTTGTATTTATTAGAATTGGATGTATATTCATTAGATCTTCATAAATTGTGTCAACTTTTATTAGCTTTTAGATCATTTTCATGTTTGATTGGTTAGATATGGGTGGAAGTGTACCTAAAATGCACATTAAGATCGCGCTGGTCAATTATTTGAACATAAAAGCATATGTATCAGTCCAAATTACTACCCCGTGTATTAACACAACGAGAGGAAAGTAAAGTATTCAAAATAATACCAGTATAAGTGATAGCAGAAGTTATACATAAAAAAACAGTTGAAGAAGAGCAAGTGAAATGAAGTAATAAGAAGTACTAAGTAATATTATGTATTAATATTTAAGAGTTAAATAATTAGTAAATTTGCTCCATTGCGATCACTGTAGTTCCAAGTCGGCACAACCAACTGAAGTATCCTCATTCTGTCGGCTTTTAGCGTCACTTAGTGTTACTCTTTGGATGTGAGAAATGCTTCAGGGGCAGTACTGACTTATCTTCAAATATATGTCTAGAAGTATTGCATAAACAGGTAATGGACCATAATGTTATCAAGTTATAACAGTTCCAATTATTGTGATTATATGTTAATCAGAGGTAGTCCAATCGGTGTACTAACTAAGAATTCCCAGAATAATGCAATTTAAGGCAAACAGAACTCGCGTGCACAAGTGAACATATTATATTTGAAGTTCGGATTAGCTGCCGAATCAGTAACAAAGGAATCATCAGTTAGTGCAAATACCATAGATTAATAAGTAGTAATGTTTCATGGTCATTTTGTTTTCAATCACCGCAGTTAAATCTCCACACTGTAAGTGTAAGGAGCCATGTATAGTGACAAAGCTGAAGATTAGAGCTGCCTGTTAGTTAACTCATCCCGTTTTATAGTAAATACAGTTAGTTGCTATGCTGAAGCATTGGGTTAAGTAGTCACATCACACTACTTAGTTATTAATCTTTGACTAACTCTTTAAAATCGGAAACGGATGAATGGAGCATGAATCACTGGATGCTATTTATAATGATCAGTATCCGACATCACTATGCGCATTCAAGTGACATAAATATAGAATGGTAGTTTTGACCTCTAAAGATCGAACTATTAAACGGTGTGTCAAAATATTAACGTCGAGAAAGATATATACATATATCTATATATGTATATATATATCTATATCTATCTATCTATCTATCTATCTATCTATCTATCTATATATATATATATATATATATATATATATATATATATATATATATATTCCTTACATAAAGATCCACAGAAGACTCTATCTTTTTCTAAATATATTGTTTTGTTTTAATATATTGATAATAGTCAATATAATTAGTCTATAACAGAGATTGACAAATATCAATAGCTGGTTTATGATAGCATTACAAAAAAAACTGAAAAAGAAAAACAATATGCAAAATACATAAACAATATTGATTGAAAAACTTTCACAATGAAATAGAATACGTCACCAAGCCTAATTAGTTAAAAGTACAAGTTGATATTGGGAAGACAAGTGTACTGATAGTAGTAAGAATATTGAATTATGATAACAAAAGTCTTATCAATAATTAAGCATTGAAAAATAAGAGGTCAAATGTGGGTAAATAGACTAGAACATTAAAATCATTACGTAATAAGAAGTATGTAAATAATTACATAGTGATGAATACAAATGGAAAGTGATAAAAAATTACAAACAAAATTAAGATAATAAAAATAAAATTTACAAATAATAATAATTGAAAGCATGAGTCAATTGAAACCAGACCACCATGGAAACACTGGACAGCCGATTTCGTCCTATTATGGGACTCCTCAACAGTGCGCATCCACGAACCCGCACTCGCGAGATTCGAACCCAAGACCTACCAGTCTCGAGCCAGTGCCCTTAACCGATAGACCACTGAGCTGGTCGACATCCAACGGTGTTAATGTCTAACTTCAACTGATCCACGATAATTATAATAATGTCATTTGTTAAGTTATATCCGGCCATGGAAGGGATAGGGGTGGGGTTACATATATATCTTCTGTACATATAAATTAAGAGTGGAATGTAAAAATTTCTATGGCTTATAGTAAAGCCCTGATGATGATGATGATGATGATGATGATGATGATGATGATGATGATGATGATGATGATGATTATCTAATTGACAATAATTGTTCACTTACATGTATTCTATTCTAATTTTTCACAATGGGAATCATTAATTTTTTGTTTATCTTTTTTGAAAATCACATTTTAATATACGAAAAAATGTTCGCCTAAATGATATATTTGATAATGCATAACAAAATGGATTAATTGGTGAATTCATATAACATAACCAATATGATAAATTATATAAATGTATATTAACACAACTTGTATAAGTATTAATATCATCACAAAACCCCTTAATTAATACAATAATATGATATGGTGTCCAACAGAATATAAATGCACCTAATATAAGACTTATTGTTTTTAATGCTTTACATGCATGTTTACGATTTTGCATATCAATATTAGATAATGATTGAAATATTGAAAATGTTGTTTGCCTTTTATTGATTATTGATTTTTGATATTCTGATTGTTGATTTTGTTGTTTATATTTATCTTTTAATGATAATTTGTTATGTTTTGTTTTGAATTGATTATATTCAGTGATTATATAATCATTATCACTATTATCATTACTACGTATTATTTTACTATTAGTTGTACTACTTGATTGATATTGAGTTGGATTATTATTATTATTATTATTTAATGAGATATTTATATGTTTTAATGGTAGAATACAACAACAACAACAACAATGTTGAACTCTTAACTTGATCTGTTTTATGATCCTATGTAAACTAGGGTTTTGTTTTGATTTACTTTGCCGAACAATATTGTCATTATTATCTTTATTTATTTGGCATAATGGACATATTTCCCGATTAGGATTAATATTAGATTTACTTGGAAGTTCAGTTAAATATGATTTATCATGTGATTTATACCATAGTACGGAATTATGTTTCATTGATGGATCGTATATACAAGATGATTTCATAGTTTGATTTTGTTTAGATTTATTCCATTTATCCATAAAACGTAAACACCAATAATCATTCATTGTTGATTGATTATAATATGTTGAACTAGGATTATCAGTTGATGTTGTATAATCTGAATATTCACACTATTATTATTATTATTATTGTTGTTTAAATGATTAAAATAAAAGAAATGGAAATGAATTGAATACAACTAGTTTTTATAAAAATGAGTTTATCTTTTCTTTTTTATCAGAAGGGGTTGTTTTGTGGAGATTTAGTGTTTTCATAGTTGAAAGCATGAATCAATTGAAGCTAGACCACCATGGAAAACCTGGAAGTACTGAACTGCTGTTTAGTCCTATTATAGGACTCCTCAGCAGTGCGCCTATCAGTTAAGTTCTCTGGCGCGAGACTGATAGGTCCTGGGTTCGAATCTCGCGAGGCGAGGTCGTGGATACACACTGCTGAGGAGTCCTATAATAGGACGAAACGGTCGTCCAGTGCTTCCAGGTTTTCCCTGGTGGCCTATTTTAGTTTTTCCCACAGTAAAACAGAAAAGCTATTGAATGTTTTCATAACTATACACTTTAAGATAGTGGAGATTTGTAGCTTAGGTGGATGATTTTGATAGAGTTTTGTTCTTTGAACTGGATGGTTTGGTCCAGCCCAGAGAAAAAAAACTCCATCAAAAGTAACTATACACTAAAAAATAGATTGCCTAATGTGAGAAAAATATGAATATATTTATTTGTTCAATTTCCATTAATTGAAGCTTGGTGATGAATGTGAAAGATGGAAAATAGCTTCTTCCGTTTTTGCTTTTACACATTTTGTAGTGAATAAAACAACCAATTGTCTCAATCTACATTGTTCCTTCTGTACATATCAGTTCTCTAATTCCATTGATCGTGCATTTTCCTGCCAATTGCGCTTCATTTCAGTTCTTTCAGGGCTTTTTCTCGGTCTTCTGCCAAAATACATTCCATGTCTGATCATCGTCACATACTACTTATGTGGATATAAGTAGACCACACTACAACTTTGCTTCAGATTCAATTACAATTTATCTTATTTCCAATTCAATTTCGTTGTCAGTTATATCACATGGAGTGAAATGCATTATTCAGAAAGTACTAGATAAAGATTAACTTAATATCATACTGGTACAAAAATATTCTTAGTTTACTGACTAGACCGGATAGTTATTTTGTCCGAGTTTGCGACTTAGCAGTCTGCATTTACAATATCATATGGGATGGAATACAAGACCTTTAGGATTTTGTTTGTGGTGGTATGGCTTTGATTCTATAAAGTATGGATTATGAATAGTTAAGCAAAAATTCTAAATCATTATTTAATAGTGGAAAGCTTACAACAATGAGTAATAGTTGGTCAGTGACATTGAATAGAAAATTATTGAATATATAAATAGATATGTAGTGACCTGTTATTCTCGACGAGAACACGATTGGAATAATGAAAACAATTATTATTATTATAACCAATTGTACCAGTGATTGTTTTACCGTACTCGTTGTTGTTTAACTGTACCAAAGTCACTTTTAATTCGGTCGTCTGCGTTGTTTGATTCGAACTTTCTTACGCTCTACCCTTATTGCCTGTACTCGTTGGCACGTCTCGGTATTCTTTCGATACCACGAGATCGCCAATAAATATACTCTATCTGAACCAGTTACAGTCTTCTGGTTTGCGAGTTATCAAAGTAACCAAATCGTTTTTGGGCGCGTAATCTTATTGTAGTGGTGATCATAGTCAATCGCGACTCGACACCATCTACAGATGTATCAAGCTATCTAAGCTAAACACCAATTAAATTTTTGATACATAAAATAATATCTATTAGCATTTACCTTATTTTGAATTATGACTTACTTTTTCCAACAGACAACATGATTGTATACATTGATTCCAAGAGGTTGAATCAGATAAACAAATAGCATTTTGACAAATATTTCCTCCTTCATGAATCAATGTATGACATTTCATTAATTGTGGACATATATCATATACATATAAATTTAAACCAGAATCATAACAAGCATCTTTTTTAATCCATACTGGTGAACTATCATCTGATTCTATATATTTCGAAGAAGTTGATTGACTATTTTGAATTGGTGAAGATATTGGAACTTTTGGAGAGGGTACATAAAAATTTACCGATGGTAATGAGAAATTTTCATCAGATATAGAAGATAAAGATTCATCTTTAGAAATTTTAATGTTTGAATCTTCATATTTTTTTGATATATCTGTGTTTGATAATAATTGAGACTTTTCAATGATTGATGATAATTGAGTTTTACTTTCAGTACTATTGTTATTTGTTGGATAAAAAGTTGAACAACCACTAGTTTCACTTCCATATTCTAAATGACATTTATTTATAGGATAGTTACTTTTTGAATTACGTTGATTCTCACTGGTCACTGTCAATGAATTCCTGAAAGAAATGGATTATAAAATAATGTTCATTTTACACTAATTGATCATTTATTAGTTATCATTATTATAAACAGAAAGGGTTTTGTGGAGATTTCAGTATTTTCATAGTTGAAATCATGAGTCAATTGAAGCTAGACCACTATGAAAAACCTGGAAGCACTGGACGGCCGTTTCGTCTTATTATGGGACTCCTTGGCAAATCGGTGAACGGTTGCTCAAACTTCGTGGATTGGTTGAAGTCAGACATTAACACCGTTGGATGCCGACCAGCTAAGTGGTCTATCGGTTAAGTGCTCTGGCACGAGACTGATAGGTCCGGGGTTCGAACCTCGCGAGGTGGGATCGTTGATGCGCACTGTTGAGGAGTCCCATAATAGCACGAAATCGACCGTCCAGTGTTTCCAGGTTTTCCATGGTGGTCTAGCTTCAATTGACTCATGATCTCAACTTTATCAATATTGTGTTTGTTTAATTCTTATAGTTAATGAAATTCTATTGAGTTTGTATTCGGGTTACTTGGTTACTTGTTTCGATGTATAGTAATCGAGGGTAATCTTTAGGATTTCTTGAACTTATGTTTCGTACTTTTTGAACCTCATAACCACTAGATTAAAGTTCAAGGCATCTATTTACCCTTTGATTGACTCTAGTTGTATATAGTTCTCATTTTTATTTTCATATACAATGCTTCAGATATTTGGGCAGGTAATAATGAAAAAACTGTATGAGAATGAACACGATATGGTTAGACTAATTAAGAAGGACAAATATATGGTGTATAAGATAAGCGAAAAAGATTAGAATGATTCCTGTCACATGATTTGTCTAGTTTTGTTTTATTCTAATAGATGAGCAAATAACCTGAATTATTGCATATCTTACCAATAACTACCAACCACTGGGTATCAAAGAACATATTTCAAGGATCAAATTTCTTAGCTGCTTCAAACGGTGTGGTACTTGCATTAAGGCATGTGTGAATCTTATTACGAATTGTTTTTCTACTGGAACTCTTGAATCAATATTTCACTGAATGACTATCTTAGTTATTTTCATTAAAAATCATCAAAAATTGCTGTTGTACATAACTTAGTGAGTACTGGTGAACTTTGTTTCTAATTTTTGGGAAAGTTATTCAGTTATACGAGAGAGTACGTGTATTCTAAACTAAAAGTAATGCTTTCATAGAAGCATTTGGTGGTTAGTTAGTTTCTTAATCATTCGAATGTCACTTTCTGTGGTTGATGTCTAAGAAGAAACACTTCTATCCACTCACTGTCTTTTCAGATTTAAATTAACAAGAACCCTCTATTGGTTACAAATATTTAACTGATAATATTTATAGTTTGTTTATTAGTAGGAAAAATTTGGCAAGCTTCTCGGTTCATACAACTTCGTACTTAGAAATTATGTTGAGCTGGTAGGTTGTAATGATCTTGAATCATTGTTTTCTTAAACACTGAATCCAATTTAGAATATTGTCGTAAATTTGTGCAACAGATTGGTACAAACCACTGTTTGACCTTTCCTGGCCTTCGCATATTTACTCATAATATAGGGTAAATGTATTTTTTACATTGTATAACAAAAATGTTAATACATATTTGTCAATAAACACATATAAAAAATACCGGATACACTAGTGTAAATGCACTTTTAATGTAATATGCTTTTTTAAAACAGCAGCACATAACCTGACCCTTTTATCCCATACACACGAACAAATGCAGATGAAAACAACTAGTGTAGCGTCAGCCTCTGCATCAGTAGGCTTCATCATACACAACGGGAAAATCGAGACCCTCAAATACAACACGGAGAGCACTAACCCAATCTCACTTGATGGAGAAACTCTGGAAAAGGTGGTAACTTTCACATACCTGGGAGGCATCATCGATGAACAAGGAAGATCTGATGCAGACGTAAATGCGAGGATTAGCAAAGAAAGGGCATCATTCCTACAGTTGAAGAACATATGGGACTCAAAACAACTGTCAAACAATATCAAGGTGAGAATCTTCAATATGAACGTCAAGATGGAGCTGAAAATTCTAGAACTACTACAACCATAATTAAAAGTGTAAAAGTATTTATAAACAATTGTCTACGCAAGATACTCGATGTCCACTGGTTAGATGTCATCAGAGACAGCCTTCTGTAGAAGAGAACAAACCATCTTCCAGTTGAAGAGGAGATCAGGGAAAGATATTAGAAGTGGATAGGACGCATTTCAGAAATCATCAGACTGCATCACGAGGCAAGCGCTAACTTGGAATCTTCAGGAGAAACGTGAAAGATGGAGGCTAAAGAACACATTGCGTCGAGAATTGGAAGGTGACATGAAAAGGGTGACTAGCAACTGGAAACGATTGTCCAGAACAGCATTGGATGGAGAATGCTGGTGAGCTGTCTATGCTCCTGCACGAGGTGTAACAGGCGTTAGTAAGTAAGTAAGACTGTCATTTGTTATGGAAAGATATAAATAAGAACAGGTCCCAAACAAACAAAATTAAGTAATTTGTGGTGTTGTTTTCTCTGATCTGTAATCATTCAGTTAAGACGACATATCATCTTTAAGATTCTCGTTCGGAACGTCATGAATTATCCATCACCTCTAAATAATCTCTGAGAAAACTTATTACTTATGTTAGGAAAGTCATAACTAACGTGACTGAGTAGATTAATGTGATGAAAAGATGAATGGATTTGAACTGATAACACACGAATCATCAGTACAAATGCTTGAATATTCCTCTCCTAACATGGGAATTCTCATTGAATTAACAGGAATATCAGAAGATACACATAACCTGTGACCACGAATTATAATCTGGCAAAAATGCAACTCTGTATATATTTATGAAGGGTTTTTAATTACTACAAGAAAATGACTAAATAATTAATTGTGATTAGTTCTGTAGCAGGATAAGTCACCCATTCAGATCTTTTAGATTACATAGCTAGTGTTAATCAAAATATATCTCAGAAAACATTTACTTTAGTGATGAACATCTATATAAACTGATTTCTACCTTAATCCCTTACAATCGATAGTAACATTGTTGTATATGCCTGTCGACATAAGTAGTATGTAACACCAATCAGATGTAGAAAATCTGGCTTTAGAAGGGTAAGGAGATCTACTTGAAGAGAATAGGAGGAAAAATAGAATAGGATTAAGAACTGGAAGAACCATAAAAAATATGAAAGGCAAATGATGGAAATTTGCAAATGAAGTATTCAGTCTTCATATCGTATCAAGATATTTTATAATTTTTTATTAAATACACATTACCTATCCCATCCTGTGTTTTTGTTCACAATTGTTAAAATATGTCTTATCTGATTTTCATCATTATATATTCAATGAGTCCCCTATAGATCAAATGGAAATAACTAACATTATGGTGTGGTCTACTTATATCCATTTAAGTAGTATATGGTCATGGTCAGACATAGAATGTATTTTGGCAGAAGATCGATAAGGAAAGAACAGGAATGAAGTACAATCGGGATGAAAATGCATGAAAAATGAAATCAAAGACGATGGACTCATATTTGCAGAAGGAACAGTTAAGGTTGAGACAAATGATTGTTAATTTGCAAATCAACTGTTGACTGTATGGTAATCAGAATTTAGTGAGATAGTCTGTAATACATCCGATTGCCCCCCACTAGTGTTCTTGTTCACTACAATATCAGATAAATAATTATCATAAATATAAATAAAAAAGCAAAGATGGATAGTGGCTAGCAGTAGAATCGGGGACGCGCGTTTCGTCCGACTTGGGACTCGTCATCTGGATGCACCTGCATCTCAGAGTTAATGTTCACTCTAGGACTCGAACACAGTATCTTTCGCTTCAATTACCATCACGTTCTCCACTTAACTACTGAGTTCTGATAGCCACTTGTTTGTGCTATGAGGTGAAGTTTAAATTCATTTAGTATTGTTTGTTTGAATCTTCCCATCGATGATGAGTCACTATCCATCTTTGCTTACAATGCTTGTGAATTAAGGCTATATCGAGGCAATACACACAGTATGCACATATGCCAATTGCAGACTGACCAGTTGCAGTCCTAACACATCAATGGGAAGATTCAAACAAACAATACTAAGTGAATATAAATACAAATAGTTTTCATCAGTATTATTATTATCATATAACTAACTTACTGTTGAGTTTGATTATATTTCGATTTTCTATTTGATGTTAAATTAAAATTTTCCAATGATTTATTATAACTTGATCTAGTTTCATAACAATAATGTTTATTTGTTCTTTCACGACGTTGTTGAATATTGTCTTGAACAAATTTAGATTTTGAATGCCTTCCTGGAATAGTACGATTATTATCATGATCATGATTATCTCCATCATCTATTGAATCTTGATTACTTTGTGAATGTATTGAATCTTGATCAATTTTTGTTAAAAATTGTACTAAACGTTTACTACTTTCTAATGATTTTTTTTGTAATCTATGTGCTACTTTATAAATACCAACATATAAACTACACATTATAATTAATGTTATCCAAAAATATCCCACAGTTAATGTTGTATTAAATATAGGATAATATGTAAATGATACATCACATTTAGTTAATTCACGTTGTTTTTCACCAGTTATATAGGACCAACCAAATATAAGTAATGTGAATAATGTTGCTGGAAATATCCAACTTATACAAATCATTATTCGTACCTAAAATAAGGTATAAAGGATAGAAATCAATTTAATAAGAATAATTAAATATAATATATAGATAGATAATAATAATATCCATGCTGGTAGATGTAGACTATCTGGTTGAGATTCGCTGAGATGATAGCAATCGATGGTTAGAGACCTTGAATAACATGGCTCAAAATCGTTTGTAATGACGAAGGTGTATCCACACTTTGTGTTTTACGAAATTCTAATCTTCTGAATTCTTCATGTTTCTATTCTTTTCTCTTTTGAAATTTATTTCATTGGATTATACTCCTTGGATAATATCTTCAAACCATAATCTTTCACATTAATGCTTATAATATTACTACTTTTACCACTATGGGATTTGAATCGACAAATAGATCTCTGTGATAATGTGGTATGGCAAATCGAACTGATGTACGTACGTACGTACTAAGTTCTACGTTGTGACTGACTGGCTGACTGATGATAAGACTTGATCACATATCGATTGCTTTAAATAACCAATCAAAATGAAGTTAGAATGATGTTGAGGATATTTTGTTGCTGAGACTTATGATTTTCATGATATTTCAGTCGGTCAGTTAGTCACAACTTAGAACTTCGTACGTACGTATATCGTTTTGAGTTGCCATACCACATTAGCACAGAGATGCAGTTGTCGATTCAAATACTATAGTGGTAGAAGTAATAAGAGTATAAGCATTAATGTGAAAGATTAAGAATGTTTAAGTTAGAAGTATTAGAGTTAGGATCTAGGGTTAAGGAGTTTAAGTATTAGAATTCAGGGTTAAGGTTAGAAATATTGGTGTTGAGAGATAGTGATATGGAGTATAAGGGCTAAGACATTTCAAAGTTAGTAGCTAGAGTCGATAGATTTTAGGATTAGGAGTTAGAGTTAAGATGTTTTAATGCTAGTAGCCAGGGTCTAGGAGTTTTAGAATTAAGAGCTATAGTTCAACAGTTTCAGGGTTAGGAATTAGCTTTTAAAATATGTGGGGGTAATAATCAGCATTTATCCTGATTACAAAATTATGATATCAAACTTGAATTATCTTTAGTTAGCACTAATAAGTTAAACAATTATTTTAAAACTGCTCATCTTCTGTATTTCTATCACCTTCCTATATTTTGGACCTTTTACATGAAAGCTGAATTCTGATTTGCTATTTTCGATTAGGTAGTTTGAAAGTCACCTATGTATTTAATGAAGATCGTTGTATACTTTTGTCATATACATTCCTGAATACTTGAAGAGATACGTACATTTATTATCAATATCAAAATATAGAATTTGTTAGTGTTGTGTTGTTTATGCCAAATGGTTTGAATGAGGAACTTTTATTGTCATTTTGGACAAAAATCTTCAGTGGTGGCTTCATGTAGAAGTCAGCTGATTTAATTTCTCACAAGTATTATATTATTCCATTTTGATGACTTTGTTTGTAACTGGTTTTTATCATAGGTTTATTTTCTTCGTTTGTTCTTTTTTGAATTCATGTCGGCTTGGACTTCTGACCATGTGATTGATTGACCACTTCTGTATGGGTTGAAAGACTGTGTCTATATTATTGTCAATTAATTTCAAATTAAATTGGATCTCATAGTCTTGGAAAACGGTATTTTTTTTACTCAAGGCAAAATACCAAGCAAGTGATAATATAGTTGACGAAAACACAAGTGCGGACAATTGAATGTATTTGAACACAAAATTACAGAACGTTTTAGCGAAATCTGAGAACCAAACAGTAAATAATCTCACTTGATGTTTTTTGCTTGTATCTTTTGATTGTTGTTTAGGACTGCGATTGATCAGTCTCTTATTGGTATATGTGCATACTGTGCGGATTGCCTTGATATTGTCTTAGGTCACAAGCTTTTGAAGAAAAGATAGATAGTGACTAGAAGTGGAATCCAGGACGCACGTTTCATCCTATTTTGGGCTCGTCAGCTGGATATGTCTGCATCTCAGAGTTGATTTCGATTGATCAATTACAGTCCAAAACGTCAGTGGGAAAATTCACGTAAACAATATCAAGTAAATTTAAACTACACCACATTGCATAAGCAGGTGACTATCAGGACTGAGTAGCTAAGTGGATAATGCGATGACGTTTGAAGCAAACGGTACTGGGTTTGAGTCTCAGAGTGAGCGCCAGCTGTGAAATGCAGATGCATCTATTTGACTCGTCCCAAATAGGACGAAACGTGCTTCATGGATTCCACTTCTAGCCACCATCCATCTTCGTTTACTGTGTATTGTTTCTAGTATATATTCGAAGTAACTATCTTCTCAAAGTATGTAAATTTTTCTATACTAAAACATTTATAAACATGTGAATAAAAGATATATTTTTTAACTGTAGATTTATGGTAATTTTCACATTGAACGATGAAGTAAACATCATTAATAAGTGTGTAATAATAATACTGTTAGAAAACATAGAGAGAATACTAAGAACAAGATGAATTTGTTTAGTGTTTATAAATGTTTAGATGACTAGTATACCAAATATACTTGGAGTTTATTGTTGGTCATAGAGAAATAATTATATGAATCATTCCCCCAAATGCCCTGGTACGGCCGAAAAAGGGGAGAGTACGCTCTCCCTCTCCAAATGCTCTCACATAACCACGCGAATATATAGCCTCTGTCAGGGAAGTCCTATTCACTGCCTTCTCGTGACATTACTATTGTTTGCGAAATTGAGAGGATGAAAAGCGAATGTCCGGCACTTTAACCGAGTTGGTGGATACGGAGAGTCTACCTAGGGGAGTTAGAAAACCACGATTCCAAACCAATGGTGCACATCGGCTCCAGTATCTTGATGGAACAAATGGCGTATGAATCAGTGGTTGGTCACCGGCTACCATCGGAATGCATCTCCTCACCATGCTCCACTGCCTTGTGGATCAGATCTTTAGGTCAAAGGCTCTGGGTGTGGCCCCCTAAGAAAACCACCTGCTTCAGTCTCGGCACCTGGGCAGTATCACAGCCCTCACACAAATCGAATGAGATTTGTATGGCGCATATATATCTGGTGCTTTTTTGTACCAATATTTATGTGTTCGAATAAAAATAAATATGAATCATGGGAATAAATAATGGGAACTTAGAAATGAGAAGAAAGCATACCACTGTATAATTAATAACTAAATTAATTGCGAAAATATGATATGAGTTAAACAAGAAATTCTATAATCTGAGTGAATGTTATAAAGTTATAAAGCTTATGATTTCAGGCAATATCCAAGCGGTCAGCATAGGATGTACATATGTCAACAAGAGACTGATCAATTGCAGTCCTAAATAACAATGGAAAGAAGATACAAGTAAACAACACCAAGTGAATTTAGAGTGATTATTATGTTTAATGTATTTCCATATTTTATATAGTTGATATCATCAGTCAATTGAAGCTAGACCACCATGGAAAACCTGAAAGCACTGGATGGGACTCCTCAATAGTGCGCATCTACGATCCTGCCTCCCGAGATTCGAACACAGGACCTACCAGTCTCGTGCCATAACACCTAACCTCTAGACCACTGAGCTAGTCGGCATCCAACTGTGGGAGACAGCAAACCAGATTCCAGCAGAGGAAGAAATCAGAAAGACGTTCTGGAAGTGGATTGGGCACACTTTAAGGGAATCACCCAACTGCATCACAAGACAAGTTCTCACGTGTAATCTTGAAGGCCAAAGGAGAAGAGGAAAACCAAAGAACACATTACTCCGAGAAATGGAGATAGACATGAGAAGAATGAACAACAATTGGATAGAACTAGAAAGGAAGTGGGAGGACAGAGTAGATTGGAGAATGCTGATCATTGGCCTATGCTCCATTGGGAGTAACAAGCGAAAGTAAGTAACACAGGTACTAATTGTCAAATAAAGAGAAACATATATCTTAAACTCTACTAATAGTTACAAAACCAACTTTACTATAAGTTATACCTTCGTATTAGGATGATATTTAATACATATTGTTCATTACATTGATATAAAATAACCAGATCTAATTTGAAGTATCTTATTATATAACTTTATTAGATCACGTAATATCATCTTGGAAACTGAATTTCAATATTTGCATGTTTTATAGAATTGCGTGCATTCAAGAAAACTTATATTTCAATAACATTTCAAGCTTTATCTCTTTAGATAGATGTATTTAAATACAGATGTATAATTCAGCATTGCCTCAAAGACAAAAAAAAAGAAGAATTACATAATTAGAAAAATTAACTATTACGTGATCAAATTCATCTTTATCGTTAATTGTTTATGAACAATTTTGTTTAATATAACAATTGAAAATAAGTTCAAATTTCTTTTCTTCTTTCATACTTTAATTTCCAATTTAATAATAAATTAAATCAGAAGGGGGTTTCTTGTGGAGATTTTAGTAATTTTATATAGTTGAAATCATGAGCTCATGGAAGCTAGATCACCATGGAAAACCTGGAAGCACTAGATGGCCGTTTGATCCTATTGTGGGACTCCTCATCAGTGTGCATCCATGATCTCACCTCGCGAGATTGGAACCCAGAACCTATCAGTCTTGCGTGCGAGCGCTTAACCTAGAGACTATTGAGCTAGTCGGCATCCAACGGTGTTATTGTCCAACTTTAAGCAATTCACGATTTTGAGCAACCGTTCACCAATTGTCTTCAGTGAGTTGATATCTCTACAACAGACTTGATAGAACTCCACTGGTCACTGCTTCCCATTAGAACTTAAGGAAATATCTCTTGAAGTCAGTCACTAGTGAGTGTATGATTATAGAACAGAAAGGGTTTTGTGGAGAATTTAGTATTTTCATATTTGAAATCATGAGTCAATTGAAGCTAGACTACCAAGGAAAACCTGGAAGCACTGGATGGCCGTTTCGTCCTATTGTAGGACTCCTCGATTGTAAGACTATCAAGAAACTAGAATAATTAAATCACTTATGTATAGTTGTTTCGTTCAGGTTTTCTATGGTGGTTGATATAACTCATGTAAA